TTTTCCGGAGGGGAGTCGTAAGATCTTCTTTAGAAAGATCACTCTTTCTAAGAGAAAGAATTTAACCTCTGAATATCTCCATCAGTAGAATTATCCCATTTTAAGCTTTCAGCATTTTGAAGACATTGTTCATACTCATCTGTCTAGCTTCCATTGTCACTACTGAGAAGTCTGTTGTAATTCCAGTCTATAGTCCTTCACAAGAAATCTATCTTTTTCCCCCTCTGGCTGTCTTTAATATTTCTCTGTCTTTGGTTTTCTGCAATTTCATTATGACAGGTCTCAGTATGGACTGATTTTTCTTTATCTTGCTTGCCTGGGACAACTGGGCTTCCTGAGTCTAAGGATTCATTTCTTTCATTCAGGGACAGATCACCCAATAAGCAAGGTAAGTACATCCTTAGAGCATCAACAAAACAGAAGCACCAGTTGTCCAAGCAAAGACCCATAGATGCCAAGCAGACAGGACACAAGGAAAAGGGAGCACACAACGGTTCAAGAAAGACTTGATTCATTATCCTTACTATGTATGGAAGTAGATATTGTTCGGTAGCTTGTGATGAAATCATTGAAGAATTTGTAAGAGAAGAGAACAGAAAGAAATTTTTTAATTATGTTAGAGATGAAAGAGCTATCTAAAAATAAAATACAGTAATTTGTTGTAATATGTTTTCTGGTCCGTAAATTTTATTTTATGACATCTTTTCATTTGTTCGTTTATAATTACAGCATTTATCACAAAACAAGCATCAAAACTGAAGTATGAGCCATTTAAAGCAAAATTGGTGAAAGTCAATTTTTCATTGTGCGGGATCAACAAAATTTTACACTGAATGCTGAAACAACTAAGTTCACTAATTTGTTTTGTTGTAGAAGATGAGAATATTCTTTTCATAGAATATAAGTATATAGTAAAAATCTTAGTACTCCACATCCACTAAAAATTTTATAATCCAGTTTGTCTCATTCCGTTAAAATGGCATTTTGACTGAACTTTTGCGTTCAATCACTACTATTACGGTCTTATTTGAAAAGAAATTACATCATGGATAACTAAGACACACACATATATACATGTATATAGCTAACTCACATATCCCATTCGAGTGTGTGAGTAAGCAGAGGAGGGGGCACCACAGATTTCAGTGCCTAGGGCCCTCACATGCCTTAATCTGGCCCTGCTTTCATCAATTTGGAAAATTCATTACCCATTAAATTCTCAAATATTGCCTTCCCTCAACCTTCTGGAAATCGTATTATATTTACCTTAAATCTTCTTACTCTATTCTCCATCTCTCTTAACCTTTCTTGTATATTTTCCACCTCTGTATTCCTTTGTGCTGCATCCTGGGTAATTCTTCAGATTTCTCTTCTAGTTCAATAATTCTCTCTTTGGCAGTGTCTACTCTGCTGTTTAACCCATTCATTAAGATTACAATTTCACTTATTTAATAGTAACTATTGGTTCTTGTTTCATCTTCAGCTTCAAACTGATCACTTTGGGCTTTACCATCCACAATCAGACATTACTAATATTGTGGCCAACATGTGTTATACTTGTTTTCTTGCCATTTCCCCCTGCTCTACCAAATGCAGAAAGTGGTCACTAATGACTTCTGATTATAAAAGCATACATTCTTTGCGATACCTCAGCACCATCAGTAGTGATCTTCTCTTTGCTTACAACTCTGTCCTTTGGTCTGCCTGAACTACACCGCTCACCTTTGTTCTTTCCCTGGTATCTTTTAAAGGTGTCCCTTCTCCTCTCATTTTCTAATTGGGGCCTGTATTGTTCTAGTAGTGCCTGAAGTCCTCTCACTTCAGAAGTAACAGAATCTCCTCCATCAGCACAAAGCTGATTCCTATGAGGTGGAGATCAGACATATCTCCACTGTCCAATCTTTACCAATTCAGACACCAGCCATGCCTCCCATGGCACTCTCTACTTCTCCGTTTGGTTCTGTAATTCATTGCAATGGCCACACAGAACTCATAGACTATACTTCAGTTGAGTGGTTTATTAAAATTGTAACAGGGTAAAACTCAGGATCAGGATCAATATCTACAACTCAGGATCAGGATCAGGAAGCATGTGGGGAAAGTCTAGAAGGCTCCACCAAAGTGGAGAGCACATCCCTCCCTTCTTCAGTGCAAGAAAGCTCTCTCAGCAACTCTCACCCATACAAGCAAGCAGGCCTTTCTTTCTGCCATGCAGGCCTTCTTTCAGCCCCCTCAGGACAGGCCTCTTGGTCCTGCATGCCCCCTCTCAGGCATGCAGGCCTCCTCTCGGCCCTTCAGGACATGCCTCTTAGCCCTGCATGCCCCCTCTCAGTTGTGCAGGATTCCTCTCAAACCCCTCAGGACAGTCCCCCTCTCGGCCCCCTCAGGACAGGCCACCTCTTGGCCTGCATGCCCCCTCTCAGCTGTGCAGGCCTCTCTGCCTTCAGCCTCCATTCCATCAGCCTCTCCACTGCTAACTGACCGTGCTCATACCCAGTGTAGCAGCTTTGTTCGGCTCTCTTAACTGCACTCCTAGCAGCAGGTTTCTGCCATCACCACTGACTCTGCCACAGGGCCCTCCTGGGCCTGTCACCCCTGGCTCTGCTGCAGGGCCCATTCCAGGTCTCTTGTTGTCTTCACTGTTATAGCCCTTGATCCGTGTTACAGCTCTTTTAGGAGGTTCCTCACCTCCTCTGTCTCTGATTCTTCTTTGTTCTCTTCTTGCCTCTCTTGTCTTTTCTCTTTTCTTCTTCTTTTTCTGAAACCTCTGTTGGGTTGGCTGCATATATAAGCAAACTCCTTGTCAATTTCAAGGCATGGTCCTCCCAGCAGGGCCAAACTGACCAATCCCCTCGGTGGATGACAGGCACTTCATATGCATAGTCTATAGCGTATTCACCAATTCCTGCAAGGTGTGTAAAATGGGCAGTCACAGGGTAGGTTGCAGCCCAGGGCCAGACAAAAGTATCAAACCATCAAGTAGTTTACAGCTTACCCAGGAAATGATAATCAACCTGGATGAAAGTAACAAACCCTCCAGGGTAGAAAACTAGGGCCAAGGTAACTCCTCACGGTTTAGGGCAAAAATCTCTCCAGCTGTTTTTCCAAAGAAGCAAGGCAAAAGGCTGCATAAAGGAACTCATTCCACCACAGGGCCATTCTTCAAAGCCCAGTCCTTGACTGTTGTTTTTCTGTTTACATTTCTTCCCTCAGAAAATTCATCCACATTCCTGATGCCAACTACGGAGTGAATTCAACTATTCATTGAGGCCTTCTCTATAGCTCACTTCCAAATATGCATCACCTATACATCTGTTTCTTCTTATCTCCAGCAAAGATTTGCGGATAATACTAAAAAACCCCAGCATGCTCCCAATCCTGAATGGCCTGCCACAACTCCACGAAAAACAGTAAAACCTGAACTCCAAAGGAATTCCAGAAATTACTGGTAGCTAAACACTGCTGGGAAGTCCCTGGGAGGTGCAAACGGTTAAGCACTCGGCCACTAGCTAAAAGGTTGATGGTTCAAACCTAGTCACACGAGCCCTGAAAGACAGACCCGGCGATCTGCTTCCGAAAGATCACAGCCTTGAAAACCCCATGGAGCAGTTCTACTCTGCACACATGGGCTCACCATGAGTTGGAATCAACTTGACAGCAAATAAGAACAACAACAAACTGCTGGGGGTGGGAATGGGAAAGCACCCTCTGGGCCAGACTTTCAACAGACCAGAACCAGAAGAAAGCCTCAATACTGGACAATCCTCTGTTACCACAAACTATCATTTGAAGGAGTCAGCAAATGAGCCTCAACCTGGGAAAGCAATTTTGTGATCTCTTGGCAGCCACATGTGCATGATCTAGAATTTCATTATGTACTTCACAATAATCACTATAACTTGCCTATACTTTCCCCTCTCTTCCCAATTATGCCCACTTCCCAGAAAACCTGGTCCTGGACTTCTCTTCCAAGTAGCACCAAAAAAACAAAACAAAAAACCCAAGCCCATTGCCACTGAGTCAATTCTGACTCACTGTGACCCCATGTGTTACAGAGCAGTACCGAGCTCCACAGGATTTTCTTGGATGTTAACGTTTACGGAAGCAGATTGCCAGGCGTTCCTTCCACAGCGCTGCTGGATGGGTTTGAGCCACCAACCATTCCGTTAGTAGTTGAGTGCAAACCACAAACCTCTTGCGACACCCTAGGGGCCTTGTCCAAGTACATTTAAATTTTAATTAAGGTCAGCTCCTTAAAATAAAGGGTTTTTAGCTCATATAGCCTTTCATCTACATAATCACATCATAAAGCAGCTGACATCCTGGTTTTTCCCAACCTAGAATTCAAGAGAAAAAGACATGTGCTTAAAAAAAACAAAAAACAAAAAAAACCTTGGTTTTATATGTAGCCATTCTGTTGCCTGTGAGAAAGACTGAGGAATACCAAGGAAAAAAAGTTATTCCAAATCCCGCCGTTTTTAGTGTTAACTTTTGAGGGCTTTAAAAGTGAATAGCCATAAATGTTTAAATATAGATATCAAAACTATATTTTCAATTTTAAACAAAAAATGTACTATACATACAGTATTCATACTTTCTATGTGCAGGGGAGTTTTTAAAGCTGAGGAATCCAACAATGAACAAAACAGAGAAAACACTGGGGCAAAGAGCTGAAGATTAGCAAATACGACCTGCCCCAAGGAACAACTTCAACATGCAAAAAACAAACCAAAAAAAAACCAAACCCACTGCTGTCAAGTCGATTCCTAGTCACAACGATCCTACAGAATAGAGTAAAACTACCCCATAGGACTTCCAAAAAGCACCAGGTAGACTCGAACTGCTGACATTTTGTTGACTAACAGCCTAACCCTCAGCCACTACACCACCAAAGCTCCCTCAACATGCAAAGGGAAACTCATGCATGAAAGTCACAAAGCTCATAAAGCAAAAAATATAATCTAAGAAAAGAAACAGCCTGTCTTTCCAAGACAAATTACCTGGGGAAAGAACAAACACAGTCCCCCACTACCACAAATTATGCAGTTAAGTTTCCTACATTTGGGAAAATAGCAGGGGTCAGCATATCCGGAGCACAGTACATAATCTTCCCCCTTGGGAAAAAAAACCACCTATCATGATCATGGTATCTCCTCTGCCAGGTAAGTATGAGTTATTAGTTCATCAGCCAGCCTCCACACCCTCCCGTGAGCAACACTTTATTTACATATGACCATTAAAAAAAGTTGGTACCTAAAACACCCATTTTAGTATCGGTACCTAAAACACCCACCCATTTTAGTATTATTAAATATACTAAGAAACAGAAACTTTCCTATCACTTATATTTTGCTTCTCTAAATCTCCAGAATGCAGGCATCCCTGAAGATTTGAGCATGCACTGCGTTCTCATTTACATATCCACACCCTCTGCTCCCGTGACGTCACCTCCCTTTTGTTTCTTTCTCTCTCCCCATCCACCTTTACTGCTTTTCTACATCTAAGTTGATTATAAGAAACTTTAACCTTGACCAGGAAATATCAGGCCACAGCAGCTGTAAATAAAATGCTTCTGAAATTATTTACACTTGTTAATGATAATGAAGCTGAAGAGTCTGAGGTTCTTGAGCAATCTGAAACTCTTGCAGTGTCCCACTCTTCTGTGTTCCAGATCCATTTTACCTGCCCTCCAAACAACTGGCAAGGGCCTAGGCTAAAGCCTATTTTTATGCAAATAACACCAGAACAGCAAAAACAATCTTGAAAAAAAGAACAAAGTTTGAGGACTTCAAAGCTTGCTACAAAGCAACAGTGGATACTGACGTAAGCATAGATACACAAATAAATGGAATAGAATTGAGAATTCTGAAATATACTCTCACACTGTGGTCAAATGATTTTCTACAAGGGTGCCAAAACAATTCAGTGAGGAAATAAGTCTTTCAACAAATGGTGCTGGGACAACTTGATCTCCACATACAAAAGAATGGAATTGGACCCTTACCTCACACAATATTCAAAAATTAACTCAAAACGGATTAAAGGCCTAAATGTAAGAGTCAAAACTATAAAACTCTTAAAAGAAAACAAAGGCATAAATCTTCATGACCTTGAGTTAGGAAATAGTTTCTTAGATACGACATCAAAAGCACAAGCAACAAAAGAAAACTAGCTAAACTGGACTTCAAAAAATTAAACCCTTTTGTGCTTCACAGGATACTATCAAGAAAGTGAAGATAATCCACAAAATGGGAGAAAATATTTGCAAATCTCATATCTCATAAGAGATTTGTATCTAGAATATATAAAAAACTATTACAACCAATAATAAAAAGACAAATAATCCAATTTAAAAATGGGCAAAAGATCTGAATAGACCTTTCTCCAGGGAAAATCTACAAATGGCCTATAAGCACATTGAAAAGATGCTCAACATCATTATGCATCCGGGAAATGCAAATCAAAACAACTTCTCACCCACTAGGACGGCTAGAACGAAAAGGAACAGATAATAGCAAGTATTGAGGAGGACAAGAAGATATCTGAACCCTAATACACTGCTGGTGGAAATGTAAAATGGCTCAGCCCACTGTGGACAATAGTTTGGCAGTTTCTCAAAAAGTTACACATTACAAAAAAAAAAGTTACACATAGAATTACTATATGATCCATCAATTACACTCCTGGGTATATACCCAAGAGAAATGAAAACATATGTACACACAAAAACTTGTACATGAATGTTCATAGCAGCATTATTCATAATAGCCAAAAGGTGGAAAAATCCTGGAGTCTGAAATCACTTCTCTATTACTGCTTGTCCATACAGCCAAGAGGATTCATTATAGACAAGGACCAAAAACAACAATCACTGAAACGCTACACAGACAGTAGTAACACCCTGGTAAAACCACTTAGAGCTTGTACCAGGGTTGGTCTGGTTTCTCTGCCTGGCATTCAGTTACCTTACCCACTAGACAGTGGGCCTCTGTTGTTACTGTTAGATGCCGTTGGGTCAGTTCTGACTCACAGCGACCCTGTGTACAAAAGAACAAAACACTGCCCCGTCTTGCACCATCCTCACAATCATTGTTATGTTTCAGCCCATTGTTGCAGCCACCGTGTCAATCCATTTCGTTAAGGGTCTTCCTCTTTTTTTTTTTGCTGAGCCCCGGTGGCGCAGTGGTTAAGAACTCGGCTGCTAACCAAAAGGTAGGCAGTTCGAATTCACCAGCTGCTCCACGGAAACCCTATGGGGCAATCGTACTCTGTCCTATAGGGTCACTATGAGTCGGAATCGACTTGACAGCAACGGGTTTTTTTTTTCCACTTTACCAAGCATGATGTCCTTCTCTAGGGATCGGTTCCCTCTGACAACATGTCCAAAGTATGTAAGATGTACTTTTGCCATCCTCACTTCTAAGGAGCATTCTGGCTGTATTTCTTCCAAGACAGATTTCTCCGTTCTTCTGGCAGTCCATGGTATATTCAATATTCTTTACGAACACCATAATTCAAAGGCATCAATTCTTCTTCAGACTTCCTATTCATTGTCCAGCTTTCACATGCATATGAGGCTACTGAAAGTACCATGGCTTGTGTCAGGCACAGCTTAGTCATCAAAGTGACATTTTTGCTTTTTAACACTAAAGAGGTCTTTTGCAGCAGATTTGCCTAATGCCACATGTCGTTTGATTTCTTGACTGCTGCTTTCATGGGCGTTATTTGTGGATCCAAGTAAAATGAAATCCTTGACAACATCAGTCTTTTCTCCGTTTATCATGATGTTGCTTAGTGGTCTAGTTGTGAGGATTTTTGCTTTCTTTACCCTGAGGTATAATCTGTACTGAAGGCTGTAGTCTTTAATCTTCACCAGTAAGTGCTTCAATTCCTCTTTGCTTTCAGCAAGCAAGGTTTTGTCAACTGCGTATCGCAGGCTGTTAATGAGTCTTCTTCCAATCCTGATGGCATGTTCTTCTTCATACAGTCCAGTGTTCTCTGATTATTTGCTCAACATACAGACTGAATAAGTATGGTGAAAGGGTACAACCCTGACACACACCTTTTCTGATTTTAAACTACATAAAATCCCCTTGTTCTTTCGAACAACTGCCTGCCTCTTTGTCTATGTACAAGTACCTCATGAGCACAATTAAGTGTTCTGGAAGTCCTACTCTTTGCAGTGTTATACATAATTTGTTATGATCCACACAGCTGAATACCTTTGCATAGTCAATAAAACACAGGTAAACATCTTTTGGGTATTCTCTGCTGTCAGCCAAGATCCATCTGGTATCAGCAGTGATATCCCCGGTTCTACATCCTCTTCTGAATCTGGCTTGAATTTCTGGCAGTTCCCTGTTGATGCACTGCTGCAACAGTTTTTGAATTATCTTCAGCAAAATTTTACTCGTGTGTGTGATATCGGTGATATTATTTTATAATTTCCACATTCTGTTGGATCACCTTCTTTGCAATGGGCACAAATATGGATCTCTTCCAGATGGCCAGCCAGGTAGCTGTCTTCCAAATTTCTTGGCATAGACGAGTGAGTGCTTCCAGAGTTGCATCCATTTGTTGAAACATCTCAATTGGTATTCTGCCAATTCCTGGAGCCTTGTTTTTTGCCAGTTCCTTCAGTGCAGCTTGAACTTCTTCCTTCAATACCATTGGTTCTTGATCATACGCTACCTCCTGAAATGGTTGAACGTTGACCAATTCTTCTTGGTACAATGATTCTGTGTACTCCTTCCATCTTCTTTTGATGCTTCCTGTGTCGTTCAATATTTTGCCCATAGAATTCTTCAATATTGCAACTCGAGGCTTGACTTTTTTCTTCTGTTCTTTCAGCTTGAGAAACATGGAGCATGTTCTTCCCTTTTGGTTTTCTAACTCCAGGTCTTTGCACATTATAATACTTTATTTTTTCTTCTAGAGCCACCCAGTGAAATCTCCTGTTAAGCTTTTACATCATCATTTCTTCCATGCACTTTAGATACTCTACATTCAAGAGCAAGTATCAGAGTCTCTTATGACATCCATTTTGGTCTTTTCTTTCTTTCCTGTCCTTTTAATGACCTTTTGCTTTCTTCAAGGAACCCTGGTGGTGCCGTGGTTAAAGTGCTTGACTAAATGAAAGGTCAGCAGTTCGTAACCACCAGCAGCTCCGCAGGAAAAAGATGTGGCAGTCTGCTTCCATAAAGATTTACAGCCTTGGAAACCCTTTGGGGTTGCTATGAGTCAGAATTAACTCAACAGCAGTGGCTTTGCTTTCTTCACGTATGATGAGAGAGGAACTCAACACCACCAAGGAACGAGAGCCAAAAGCGGAGTATGACCTTTGGACCTGGGATCCCCATGCTGAGAAGCTCCTGGAATCAGGAGACTGAGACAGAGAGAGCTGTTAACGCTGAAGACAGCAAGAAGCAGTGGTAGAGAGACCGGCAGGAGATGGCGCAGTGGGTTTCCCTATGCACGGAGCAAGAAAGCTGAGCGCTTTCGGGCAGGTGGCTGGCAGAGTAGAGTGCCTCTGGGCACCTGGTGGAGCTAGGTTTGCTGAGCCATCAAGCTAGAGCTGAGAGCCTTCTGGCCGAGGCTTACTAATGGTGTGGGGTGCCTCAGGGCACTTATCAGTAGAGCTACAAGAGCTTTTTAACACTTGCCAGAGCAGGCAGAGGCCAAGGGCCAAAGAGGCATACCAGCGGGCACAGACGGGAAGAGGCTGTCCTGATACAAGAACTGTATCCTGAGCATTCCTGAACCTGAACTGTAACCTGTTACTTCCCTAATAACCCCATAATTGTGAGTATTGTCTGTGAGTTCTGTGTGGCCACTGCAATGAATTATTGAACCCAGTAATGAAGTAGAGAGTGCCATGGGAGGGACAGTTGGTGTTAGAATTGATAAAGATGGCGGAGAGAAGAGGCCTGGCTGACCTCTGTCTCATAGGTATCAGCCCTGGGCTGTTGATTTTGATTCTCCTTCACCTTTGTGAAGTTAGAGGAGGTCAGACACCGCCCCCATACCATTTTTACAGATCACCAGGTCTTTTCTTCCACAGAGCAGCTGGTGGGTTCAAACTGCTGACCTTTCAGTTAGCAGCCAAGCTCTTAGCCATTGCACCACCAGGACTCCTTAGATTCAA